ATCGTTAACGAAAATCGTAGAATAAAACGAAAAAATGTGTGAAATGAAACGTTGTGAAAAATTTTGCTATGAAAACTGCCCATATCACGGATAATATTTGCATGAAGGAAGTAAATGAGTTGGTCTTTTGCTAACAGTCAACTAGTCAGTCAGTTAGTTGGAGAAGGCGCAATAGACCTATTTCGAACGTTCGAATTGATCTATTTCGTTATTAGTTATTTCCAGCGTTGTATATTTTCGCTGTTACCTTCTACTAAATTGTTAGTGCGTAAATGATGAGGTCCCAGACCAATATTTTGGCGATACTTTTTATACCCACTGTTTATCAAAATATTTTAAAAATTTTGTTAATAGGCCATTATCTGATGGCAAATTTTCACGCAGCAATGTAATTGCATCCGTGATTACATCTCCATCAATATATGCAATGCCCATGAACGATCTTAGCCATTGACAAACACTATCGTTTTCTTCGTATAATGTACTCAGCCCTAATTTTTGAATTTTACGGTACAGACATTGAGTATAATGAAATCAACAACCACGAATGGTTGCAGTTGGAAACTATTAATAATTTCCACAGCATTTATACATGCTTGTTCAAAGTCTAAATACACAAATTCTGGTGCAAAGGTTTTGTGATATTTTTCAGTTTTGCTCTTCAATGTTGAAAATATTTCGTTATAAACAAGCTCATAACGAGCAGAAGTCAAAACCCAAACAAGTGATAGACCTACATAAAGTTTATACAGTTGATGTGTAAAAACTAAAAAATCACTCAATCAAATACTAACCTTCTCCGAGATGCTTTCCCATTATTACATAAACCTGTTCAAATAGAATGGGTTGTGTTTTGAATGTCCAATCCATTAAAATAACTTCACAATCAAAAAGAATTTTTAGCAATTTTTTAGTTGAAAAAATCAGTAAACGACCACCCAGTGAATCATCTGTGTTATCATAAATTACAAATTTCTCATCATTAAAAGTTCTGCGATAAACTACCGGAATATCAAATGTTTGATCGTTTGGACGGGGCGTTATTTGTTTCGATCGTAATTTATATAATGCACAAGCTACATAGAACAAACGACAAGTAATATAGACATCGTGTCAGTTTCGTCTGAACCGAAGACAGTTAGAATTACTTCACGCACCTTTTGTTTCTGGTAGAAGAAACCGTCGCTATTCTTCATGATTTAATTGATGTTTGGCATGTTCTTCTTCAACGATTTTCAAAACACCGGTTGATTCATTAAGTACACGTTTCTTTGTTATGTTTGTTATTAATGCTTTTTTGCAATCTATTTCATCTGATGGATGATTATTTTTATGACCGTTGGTATCAATAAATGTTTTTGTATCAATTGCCACTTTAACGACGGCTCGACATCCATGTTGTTTATATGAACACCGATAACTAGCTATATTATTTCTGATAGATTCAGATATAAATCTGTACGAATAGCCACCCATGCATAATAAGTCTCCTCCACGTGTTGTTTTTAGCCAAGTGATAGTTTCAACGACTACAGGGTATGTAAGCACTGATTCAGTTTCATCTTGTACAACAGTGAAAACAGTAACAAGTGACAGGTCACCAATGGCCGGTGTGACTACGATAGATTGTGTTGCTGCGGTAGGAGCTGATGGTGATAATATTGGATTAATTGTTAATAAATCATTCGTATCCATACTATCCAACGTTGCTGCCGATGTGGGTCCTGTAAATTCATCCAAAGATAACGAATATGTTTCGCCTATCTCCTCACTCTGAAATAAAGAGATGGAACTCTCTTTTGTTCTCTCTTTGTAACATACGAATTAATTTCTTACCAATGATTCATTGTTACAATTGAGTTGAATGGTTCTGTTTTGACTAGCAGCATTGTTATTAGCACTATATTGCATACGACGAGCAGCAGATCGTGTGCATACCATAATAAAAAATTAATAATATGTTGATTATTGTTGTAAGATGAACAAAATTTTTGTTATCAAATTCAGACTGAAAAACAATGTCCTATCTAAAACCGTATGATGAACAAGAAGACAGCATAATTAAAAAGACTGAATGAAGTTTCCGTTTTTACAGTGCTCTGATCACACAATATGAGAATGATCCCAGCTGCTAGTTTCTCATCGTTGTATATCGTATTCAGTGTAACTGCTACTACATATAATTGTAATCTCTTCCTTCATTTGCAACTGCAGCGAACATATTAAAGTCAAATTCGTATGAATTTACATTTGTGGCCACTTTCTAGTGAAATTTGGCAAAACGGTCAAATTCTTGTGAAATTTAGAGTTTTGGCCAAATTCCAAAATCCAAATTCCATTTGACCAATTTCCAGTTTACCTTTTTTCATGAAAAAGACTTTTCTTTGCGTTTTTTAAGAAAAAGTCTTTTTCTTGCAAAATAAAAGATATACATTATATCTTTACTCTTTACTTTTGAAATAATAGATACCACTTTATCGTTACTCTGGAACGGAACGGGAAAGTCCCACCCCTAATTTTCACGTCAAGATATAAGCTGTCTTTTTCCGGTTACTATTACAGAGAATCTTTGCGGGAATATAAGTGATGTAGTTCAGACTCCCAAATGGTGGTGTGCTTTTCTTCTCTGGAAAATCGCGAGCCAAACTGTGGCTCTATCGCCCACCATCGTTAACGAAAATCGTAGAATAAAACGAAAAAATGTGTGAAATGAAACGTTGTGAAAAATTTTGCTATGAAAACTGCCCATATCACGGATAATATTTGCATGAAGGAAGTAAATGAGTTGGCCAAAAGTCTGAAAGAAGTACGCTTCTCATTTTTCACAGATATTTTGACATAGCTTGAACACTAAAAGTGCAAATTTTATACACACAACCAGGTGCTCTTCTATTACCCTATGGTGGTCACTACTGCTCTAAAATGTTTTGCTGTGGAAGCCCAAGCCAGATCCAGTGTACATGATCTTGACTAAACTATGTCTCACATTATTGAACTAAGTTTGGATTCTTTACTTCTTGTCCACTTCGTGAAAACCCGCTACTTTTGACTAATTGTAATATAGTATTATAGATTCTTTGACTCTTGTGAATATCGATTTCATGTTAGCTGTTCACTGCCGTGATAATAATTAAGTCGTAAAATAACTCTCCATTAGATCATCAAATCCATCGGGTCTATATTAGCTGATATTTCGTCTTGAACCTGAAACGATGAATCATGGTTTCTCTAGAGATGTGCCATACATACATCCGCAAGTTACGCTTTTGCACTAAAACATTAGCATTACTGACAGTTATCACTGTATTACTACTCGATATGATCATTCTGTACATGCTCGTAAATAGTCAGTATATAGTTTTGTTGCGGCACCACTTGGACATCCGTCAGCTGATCAAACGTTCACCGCTAATAGCTCATTGTTTGACAGGAAGACCAAGAACGCTTCATTATGACGAAGTATTTCAAATATACAAGAAAGTGGTTTTGGATAATGTTCCTGGCGACTTATTTGCCGTGCTTGAAATCGGTCAGGTCGACGATTTTCCCGGAATTCCACTGGGAACAAACGACACCGTATATAAAAGAGCTTTGACGACAATAAACCCAAAACTAACCAAATGGCTGAACGTAACCGATAATGCGACAGCGCTAAATGATCCAGGAGGTTATGGGAAATGGAAAATATGTATGACAATGATCGAAGAAGAGGAAAAAATGAGAGCTATGAAATACGAATTCATTGTCCGTACCCGTCCCGACTTAATGATAATCAAAGAGCTTCCACCTGTCGAAAAATGGCCGACCGATCGAGTTCTCGTAAACCCCTATTACGAGTGTCTCAAGGATCTTCCAGCAAGTTAGGGCGAAGAAGATGAAAAGTTCCGCAAAGCTGATGCTTTTTGCGGAGTAGATAACTATGGAATATCGGATCTCTTTGCTATCATTCCAAGGCAGTTCGCCGATGCGTACATGAAGCTGGTAGATATTCCCAATTTACCGGTGGCTATTTGCGGGAGTAGGGCTAGTGAGACAGAGTGTAGAGTGAGAGCAACTTTAGTCTACCATAACATTTCTTACGAAGCATGGCCGTTCGTGGTCAAAATACGGAGATCACAGCAGTTTTGTCTGCTATACGATTGGAATAAGTTTAATAGTTGGTGTTGAATAAAAAATAGCGTCTTAAACTCTTGAATCATTAAATCGCACTAGTATTACTTAATCTTTTAGTTAATGCATTGCATGCATGGTGTTCTAAAATCGTTAGTACCTTAAAATCTTCTTAAATTGTATAATTTTAACGGGTCAAAAGTTTCTTGGACGTGTCTCGAAGACTTCGATTTCAGACCTAGTTTCTACACACTTAAGTTTTGGTGAAAAAAAAGCATTGTCAGGATAAACTAGAAGACTGGAATTCGGCAAAGATCTTTGACTCTCATGGAATTCTATGAACCCCCTAAGTCTAAGAACTCCTGCAAAGCGCAGCAGCAACTAGTTTCCACATACAACATCTCAATTAACATGTACTTCGCAGACAAAGACCTCAGCACACAATTCTTATTTTACGTGTCACCGTGAATCCACGCTTTGTCACATATACATTGCTTGTGATCGTGAATAATAAATAGATATATAAAATGATCTCGAGTATAAAAGAAACAATAAAAAGAAAGATAGAAATATCACGGTTAAATAACAATATACGACTAGGAGTAAATAAATCTAAAATCTAAATGATGAAAAAGAGAATTACTTGATTAAACATTTCGTAATAATACAATAAAATAGAAAAATAGAAACGATAAAACTAATGATAAATTAATGATCAAATAAATAGTAATTACAGTTTTCTTCGCTTTGACGATCCCGTCCGTCGGTCGAGATGGACCGTAACGAAGTTGAATAGAATAAATACGTTTAATGTACAGTATACGAAGCGACAGAACGAGGAATATTCTCATTTTCGTTCTTTTCATTGAATTATTATGTCTCATTATGAATAATCGACTATTCATGTAACTTAGTTCTGTTTGTTCTCATTCGGAAAAGACAAACTATATTATCACTGATTTATGAGTGAATGTAGACGAAAGTATCGTGAATAAGACAAATACCCCCCTCCTCCACAACAGAAGATGACCTGGTCTTCTATTTTATCCGGCAAGTCGAGCTCTACAGGGTGATCTTCTATTGCGGTCAAATTTTGGCGCCTGCTAGCAGTCCAATGGTAACGCCCACGCACTTGAGGTCCATCCCCTGTTAGAAGTATGTTCTGGAGAAATTTTTATGAAAATTCCCGTATCATTTTCCAATTTTTTTCGCAGACATAATAGAAGACCAGTGGCCTTCTAAGAGTTAGAGGACCATGGTCTTCCATTTGGCTTTCAAGTCATATAATCGACAGTGGCCTTTTGTTATGGGGGGGGGGGGGGTTGGTTATGGGGGGTTGGGGGTAACGGTATTATTGGGGTTGTTATGTATGAAAGGTTGGAGGTTTGGTGGGGTTGGTTATGTTTGGNCCCCCCCCCCCCCCCCCCCCCCCCCCCCCCCCCCCCCCCCCCCCCCCCCCCCCCCCCCCCCCCCCCCCCCCCCCCCCCCGCCGCCCCCCCCCTATGATATAGCTGCTTTCGACTAAACGTAATAATGAGCTTCTTAAGTAAGAAACGTAAGAAGTTTTCTTCTCATTCTTATGTTTCTTCGTTCAAAATATATAAGAGAAAACTACTCTTACGTTGATTACGTGTTACGTTTCTTACGTACGTTTGAGCTGTTTTCGCTTTCTTTTCGGACATATATTCATACGCTCATTTCATTATTTGAATATTCTTTACTCGTATATAAATGAAACATAGTTTGCTATAGTGAATAACGAATAATCTTTCGTTCCGTTCTTTCGAAGCTTACTTAATACTGCCCATTTCTGCTCGTCGGTATACCTCATGCTGTGTGGAACGGTTTGAATTGTTTTTCGTTGGTGCTATTACTGACGTATTTTTTTGTGGATGGCGGTAGTGCAACTATAGGATTCGTTATTATTTGAATGAATGGTTGTGATTTTTACTTAAATTAAGTGAAAACTTAAGAGTCGAGAATCTAGAAGTACGCCAATATGACTTTCGTCAATACTACCTATGGATTTTTGCCAATAACTCAGCTGCATGGTCTCTTCATGCAAATTACAAATTTTTTAAGTGGTTCGGATATCATATATTCAGGTTGACACTTCTTTTAATTTTTTTTCATTGTGACGTGACTGTCTTGCTTCTCTTTGTATCTCGAAGTATATATGTACCAGATATTTATTTTTTTATCTATTTTTATTAGCAGATATTTATACATTGTCCGAAAAACGAAGCTGTTATTTTACAACGTCTTCTCCATATGGCTGCCAGTGTAAATACAAAAATAACGATGAAAACAACGAAATCTGAAAGAAAAGGTCGCCAAATTGTTCATCTGCTAAATCTGTTGGATATGAAAAAGAAAACATTAGAAGAAGTTGCCTCAGCTTTTCGTTCTTGGTTGGTGCAAAAAGGATACGACTTGCATTGAGAGACAATACAACTCGAGTCATAATTGGTGAAAGTATATTGAACTTTCGCCAGTATACCCCATGGCCACTCGCGAATTGGCGAACGTCTAGTTGACGTGCTTCTATAATTCCGCCCCTTAATTTAAGATGCTTTCGAGAAACTGACGTAGCAAAAAAATGAAAACAATAAAGTGAAGTCGTTGTGATTTGAAATGCAGAAAAATCTTCCACAAGAATAATATATTGTATAAAAATATTGAAATTGTATACACAACTGCATCAGCATCGTCTTGATTTTGGTGTTTGAATTTGAAATATAAATCTTATAAATAGAGACATTAAAAATAGACTGAAACACGCCTGACTTAGGCTTAAGATTTGAGTTTGATGCATATTTGATTAAAAGAACCTCATTTCATTTCGTTCAAGTTTCTGCAAGACGCGGGATCCTAGCTATAAACAAAAATTATGTACGTAGGAAGTTTCTTGCGGGCACAGTAAGTTTCTTGTCCCGCCTAAAATATGTGTCCCGGTCCGCCCATGCGTTGTTGAGCCAAAAATATTTTTGCCAATCAATAAAAACCTTGCCCATTTTCCTCATCGTTTTTTCTGACACAATAGAAGTTTGCCCATTGGTCTAAAAATTCTGGTTACGCCGCTGATCGGTTAAATGTATTTACATAAAAATGTCGATGCTTGATGCGTGACAATCTTATGCATTAGTTTTAGATGAAAGATGTTAAATGTATTCTCGAATGTACGCAAGTTATTTTTGTTTACATACAGACAACAGGCAAAAGTTATTATTGAAAATACGTATGATTTATACATTTGATTAAGTGTCGATGTGCCGAAAGTTCTCTTGAATGTTTTCATTAAACTTAATACTTTTTCACATTCTGACAAAATATATCTCTGCTGAGATTTCTAGTCCAGATTTTTGGTGAGAAAAACTGCTAAATGTTTGTGTTTTTTGACTTCTTTTAAAACAACTTAATTTATCTTGAATTTCGGTGGTGTTCTATTATAATTAAATGTCATACATTCACATTTATTCTCAGTCAATGACAACTGCCAGTTTACTGACCACTCATGAACTTTATCTAAATCGCTGTTAAGTCCTGCTGTTAAGTTATTAATATTCTTTCTGAATAATGTAAAACTATGTCGTCTGCGACTAAACGTGTAGTTGATCTTAAAGTATGACTTATATCGTCAATGTAAATTAAAAATGGCGAAGGACCCAGCACATTGCCCTGAGGCACGCCTCGATTGATCGGTAGTGATGCTGACTGCCTTCCGTTGGCAATTGTGATTATATTCCTATCTTTTAAATAATCTTTAAACCATTCGAGTAGCATACCATCAGTAACTGATATATTAGTCGGTTTAACCAAATTCGATCGAAAGCTTTCTTATTACAAAACCCTTCTCTGTATTTCAGTGAATCGAATGACTAGGTCTATCAGTTGATTTACTGTTGGGTCACCCTTTTGTGAAACCCGACTGTAAGCAGTGCAATAAATTATTCTTTTTAGGTGATTATAGAGATGATTACGAATGACACGTTCGAAAACTTTACTTAAAATTTGTAACAGTGTGATTGGTCGATAGTTCGGTGCCACGGATGCATCGCCATCTTTATACAAAGCGTTAACATAACCGATTTTAAAAAGCTCGGGATATATTCCGGTTTGCAGAGACTGATTTATTATTTTGGAAATATATTCACTCTTAATTAATGATGACTCTTTTAATAATCTCGATGTCATACCTAGACTTGCTTTATTTATATCTAACCTGCGTAATATTCGTCCTACATCATATGATGTTACCACTATTGGAGTTAATTTATTTGTTGATGATGTTAAATGAGAAAATGGTTTCCTGTTGTCGGCATCATTTATTGCGCAGATTGAAGCAAATTACGAGTTTAATTCGTTTGCCTTTTTAGTATCATCGTGGAGCCAAGAACCTGAATTCGTTTTCAACGGCGATATAGATGAGCGTTTTCTTCTTCTTAAACAAAAGTGTAACGCTCCCCACCATCTTTAATGGTGCTTTTCGTGTTATTTATCCGTTCGATATATTCTTCTTTTGACTGTTTGCATGAACCTTCAAATTTCTTAGATAACTGGAAATATTTCAGGTGGATGTGAATTGTCTTTTTTGTCATACTGTCGAAATGCTGCATTGCTAATTCTTAACGATGAATTTATCCGAAAACCATGGCTGATCTCCATTTCTAATCTTTATTATTTTGTGTGATACTGTTTTATGTGCTGCCTCAAGAACAGCTTTTGTCGCTCACGGGTCATTGGTTGTGTATTACATCAAGTGCTGTTATGACCATTAAAATCACCAATAATCACTACTCCTTGATATTTTCCTCTTTTACATAAATCGTCTACGTTCTCTTTTAAATCTTCTAAAAATTCATCAATAGATTGTGCCAAACGATAACATACTGAAAAAAGTGTATTACCGTAACCGGGATGTATTACACTAAGAAATAAACATTCCGATTTTGAGTTATTAGCTCTTAAAAGTAGTTTTGATTGTACAATTTCTTTCACATAAAACAACCACCGTCTCCTTGATTATCTCTGTCATTTCTGCAACATGTATAACTGGGCATTTCAATATCTTTGTTGGCTATCAAATCATTCAATCACGTCTCCACCACATTGCAAACAACTGGATCTCTCATACGTATGTATTCATAAAAAAGTTCGAAGTTTGCTACCTTTTTATTCGATTCCCTTGATTCGGCGAACATATTTCTTATATTTAAAAACAAGCTAGAACAATTGCTCCTCATCTTACTAAGTTTAGCCAGATTTTTTTTATTCGATGACGTCATCTCACTGGGTCATGCAGCGTGTCGGAAACACAGTGTCATCCTATTTTTAATTAAATTAATCTTAAGCATTTAAAAATGCTTCACTACAGTCATCGTAAATGACGATACACGAGTAGATACGATGAGTTTAGCATCGTAAAACTGTCGTACACGACCACATTTCATTTGACAAGCGTAGCTACGTTAATCATCCTGCATATTTGAGATTCTACTATCTGAAGCTTCATTTATTCTTTGCTTCTCATTCCAGTGTTTCGTAATCAGCTGCAAGACTGTCATTTCTCTGGTTATTTTAAATCAAATAATGACAATACAAGTAATACAACGTGTGTACTTTGTTCAACAGTGATAAATCACCAGTCAACATCCACATCTAATTTATTTCATCATTTTGAACAAAGTCATATTCATGAATATCAATGCATTATGAAAATAATGAAATCATCAAGATCATCCAGCATTCCTCAATTACCTCTAGATAGTCAACGTGGTGCAGAGTTAATCCAATTGGTAGCTGATCTACTTATTTGTGACTTACTGCCATTATCAATTTTTGAAAGTCCACAATTACAAGCTATTTTCCATCATCTGGCCGAACCTAGGGCTGTGACAGTTACCAGTTACTGTTACCACCGTTACTCGGTAACTGTAACTGCTGAACAGTTGACGTTCTTGGTAACGGTAACGGGTAAGCAGTTATCGTATAAGTAACGATAACGACCAGTACAAGTAACGGTAACTGTTCAGTATATCTTTCAAGAGTCAAATCTTTAAATATCTAGGTATCCAAGGTGAGAGTGAAAGTTCGTAGCCTCACCCTCACCCTGGATACCTAGATATTTAGAGATTTGACTCTTGAAAGATATACTGAACAGTGCTTGTAACTGGTCGTTATCGTTACGTGTACAGTAACTGCTTACCCGTTACCGTTACCAAGAACGTCAACTGTTCAGCAGTTACAGTTACTGTAACGCTAATGGTAACTGTCACAGCCCTAGTCGAACCATCCTTTGGCTTACCTAGACGAAAATATTTTACGACACATGTATTAAAATCAATGTATGACAAAACACGTGCAAAAGTTAATCGTGAATTAAAAAGTGCTCTAGGTAAGATTAAAAAACCGCTTCTTTTCATACTCTGCTATAGAAAAATCTCTTCTAGATTCTCATACTATCGCATCATACCCTATGACCGACTATAACTAAACTGACGTTCGTTTTTTCATAATCAGGTATCTGTCTAACCACCGACAACTGGTCATCAGATTCAAATCAGGCATATATAACCGTCACAGCTCATATTACAGCATCCAATTATGAAGAGAAAAATTTTGTTTTTGAAACAATTGATTTCACGAGAAATCATACAGCTGATCGAATAGTCCAGCATTTACAGGATCTGGCAATTGAATGGTCAATATTTGATAAAATTATTTGTTTAGTCTCGGATAATTGTGCAACAATGGTCAAAGTTGGTCGAGATTTTAACAAAGGTACTGTTGAGTTGAACATAATATCTCAATCGACGCTCTTTTTCCGATCTTCTAGGATGGTTCGGTTGTGTTGATCACCGAATTAATTCAAATTTTTACACAGATTTACTCTCGTTTTCTTCTTTTTGTTTATCTCTTTTAGGTGTTCCAGAACGACAGCTAATATTTGACGTATGTACTAGGTGGAACTCAACCTTCTATATGATAGAAAAATTAACTGAAGAAAAACCATCTGTTTTATTGTGTTTGAGCGAACAACAATTCCAAAAAAACCTAACAAAAGCCGGTTTATCTACAATAATCAATTGGGAGGTTCAAGCTCAATTGAAGGTACTATAAAACAAAAGCAAATAAGGTCATAATTTAAGCTACATATTTCTTCTCTTTCATCTCTTTTTTCATAGGTTTTACTAACCACGATATTAGATCTTCGGCGGAAGAATTTTGCATTTTTTGTCACCAAGTTTATATGATAAACATCCTGCAACAAAATCAACATTACAAAAACTGCAAGCATTCAATGCAAAAAATGAAGCATATGATTTATTACTGAAAAAATACGAAGATTTATTACCAAAAATGCCCACATCGTCGATTGAGGATGAGAAGATAGCTTTTTTTCGAATAATCAGTATGCGGTAGAATTTAAAACGTTCGAAAAAACAAAAACTAATATAGTACACATCTCAGTTTATTTTATAACATTATAACCGATCGAGTTCAGAGCTATGTTACAATTATTCGTATCATTTCTAATGTTTACCCAACTTTAAATGAATGTAAAATAAACGTCTCTATTTATTCGGAAGTAATAAATCATACATGACAGATTAATTAGAAGACATTTATTCATCTAGACATACTCACACGGTCTTATGCGTATATGAAAAAAATATAGTACATGTTCGCTGACATAATATCAGAACAAGTATTTTACATCAGCGGAGTGACGCTTGTAACAAGTAGAATACGATTGAGTGGTCATCTTATACACTATCTGGTAAGTTAAATAAACTAACAAAAGAATGAATTTCCGAAATATTTTTGTTGTCAGTAAAAACACATGAAAAATGCTATCGTTTTCTAGTCAACTCAACAATAATGGCTCATAATACAGTTTACGATCAAAAACAACTTATTTTCCATTATAGTTTCTTGGATGTGAAAAATGATCCATCGTGTTGTTGGCCCTTATGCAAGACTGGAGTCAATAGTGATGATATCTTCTTAGATCGAAAAACATGTTACGAAGATTTCGATATTTTTTATCCGAGTGCATCTCTGAAGTGTTTCAACAACATCAAATATGTTGAAGAACGTATGATGGAGATTTTATTGTTCAAAGATGAAAATGGAAACGAAGTCCATAACAGCCACAATATTGAATTTCAAAATTATAAACTACATCGACGTCGGAATGCCATTTGTCTCGCATTAGATAAAATTGCACATGATGAATGTCTAAATTGTTTTGCTAAAGTGGCAGACAAAATTGCGCTTTGCGCGAGGTTAGAAGAACTTGGTTTAGATTCTAATCTGCCACTTGCCCGTCATTATAGTCGAAAATATGGAAGATGTTAACATTTTCTTTGATGTAAATATAAAACACACTTACCATGGCATAACCGAACCAAGTGTACAAAATGATTGTGTGTTTTTCGATAGTTTTAGTTCAGAAACTATAATGGAATATTTTTCCACTTGTATTCTGATAGAATAAAGCTTATATCAAAAAACAGAATACAAAAAAAATATTAAAAAATTACTATTGATAACATCGAGTCGATTGCACAAAGTCAATCGTTGTACACAACATAGCCGCAGAACAGTGGCTTTAGTTTTGCAGTTAACTACAAAGCTAAGTTCATATGTTCAAATCTCCATCCATATAAAATTGATTCTGTGTTTTTTTCGATAGCTTTAGTTAAGAATACTATTATGGAATATTTCTCCGCTTGCATTCTGACAGAATTCAGCTTCTATCGAAGTTACCATTTCTTTATGATGTCTACATTATGGACAGCCAGAGTTATACTTGTGTGATAGTTTACAAGGACATTGAATTAGTTTTGGATTCTAAACTCTTCCTTTTAAATTTTTTATTAACAAAAATTATTTCACAAAAACGTTTAGAAAGAATCTTCTTTCTTCTTCAGTTTCCAAAAATACTGCATGACATATAAAACTTTATCTCTGGGATACTTAGTAATTCGATCGTTGGACCGCTACAGTGAGTCTCATCGGAGAAGTCCCAAGTGAAATTGTTTTCTCGATTGTTTTCGGGGTGTTTCGACAGCGGAGGGATGGAGAGGAAAAATGGAGTAGAGGAGCATTATTCCTCCCCCCCCCACCCCCTACTCGAAAATTCGATGACAATATACGATGACGCTATCAGAATGTTCCAATGTATTTTATACATATATATATATAGGCGTGTTTCTGTATTGTTTTCTGTATCAGAACTATATTCGCTATAGTGTTTCTCATCTTCTCTCCATT